GACTGTACTACAGCAGGTATACGTATTACTTTCTAAGGGGTGAATGGTATCAAAATACTAACTGTGTACAATACCAGTGATAGAGGAAAAATTTCTAATTGAAACCATTATCACAATTTACTCTGCACATAATTAAATCATTAATTTCAAGTAGTTTTAAAATAAAACAACATACTTTCAAATGCTTTAATCATTTTGTCTAGTGTTCCTCATGTAAGAATGTAGTGTCTAGTACACATAGTGTGTTGTAGTTGCTTTGTGGATTATAAGGAAATGCTGCACTGAAATGTTTCATTTTTTGAGTTGTAGCACACGGTTCTCAATCACAATTGCAGGAATAACACTCTAGTGATGTTCATGCAAATACAGCACCAGTTTACTCTGTGCTATTCATCTTATATCAAAGATTTTTATATGTTTTTGTTTGTAAAAACAAATAATGTATTTCTTCATGCCCTGGTCACAATTTATAAACCTTAGCTATTGCTCCAGGAGACCTAGGTGGTGCAGTGTGTTAAACCGCTGAGCTGCTGAACTTGCTAACCAAAGGGTCACAGGCTCAAATCCGGGGAGCGGCATGAGCTCCTGCTGTTAGCTCCAGCTTCTGCCAACCTAGCAGTTCGAAAACATGCAAATGCGAGTAGATCAATAGGTGCTTCTCCGACGGGAAGGTAACAGCACTCCATGCAGTCATGCCAGCCACATGACCTTGGAGAAGTCTATGGACAATGCTGGCTCTTCGGCTTAGAAATGGAGATGAGCAGTCAGACACAACTGAACTTAATGTGAGGGGAAAACCTTTACCTTTACTATTGCTTGTGAGTGATTTATGCATGAATTAAAAGTTACATATTTGGGAAGAATAATGTTTTGATAAGTCTAGGAGACATACAATCTCTAGTAAACGCTTAGAAGTATAAATGGAATTGTAGAAATTAGATTAATCTTGGGCCCCTTCCACACAGCCCTATATCCCAAAATACCAAGGCAGAAAATCCCATATTATCTGACTGTGGACTCAGATGATAACAGTTCAAAGCAGATATTGTGGGATTTTCTGCCTTGATATTCTGGGATACAGGGCTGTGTGGAAGTGCCTTGATTGATCTCTGTATCTAAATCTGATTTAAAAGGAGTATCAAATCTTCTCTGATCAGTTCTAGAGGATCCCTCGGTAACAGGTTTATCTACCTTTGGAACTTGCTGGATCTGGTTTTGTTCCCTCTCATGTTGCATCTGAAACAATTTAAGAAAATTACCAATACATGGTGTCTTTCATAAGGAGACTTGGAATAACTATTAATAGACAAGATTTCAACTCTTAGCCAGTTGAAAGGTGGGTCAGGGAAGAGAAATTCAATATGTACTGAAGCGCTCTGACTAAAGATGCTAATTCATAGTTTGGGTATATTTCCAACTCAGTCTTGAATTTGAAGGCTCGGCTTTCCATAGTAACCAAAGGAGTGCTTTTACACACTTAAAAGTTAGTGCACGTCCATTCTTGGAGATGATTGCTCTGGCCAAAGAGATACATAGTTTAGTTACATCCCATTCAGATCACTAAAATACATTTTACAGAGTTGCCTTTGAACATTGTTTGGAAACTAAACTTGGTGCAAAGAGCTGCAACCAGAGTGTTAACTGCCCTGGTAAGAGGAATCATGCAACTTGTCTTCACTAGTTAGTCTTCACATCTCTACAGGCTGCCAGTTTGTTTCCAAAGGGCTGCTTATAGGGCTGCAAAGGCCTATAACTTCATCACACTAGAGAATGAATCCACTTTAAATCCGTCTTCTGCCTCCTGCAGAATTCTGGGGTTTGTAGTTTAGTGAAGCTGTTAGAGGCTCTGCCTTTCTCACCCCGAAGGGGACTCAGAGTGGCCTTACAACAGGCAACAATTCAATGCCATACATATACAAATACATTAAAACCCAAGCAGTTAAAAACATCAGTTATTAAAATATCAATTAAAATCATGCAATCCTCATCATAATCCAGGGCCGTTCAATTCTTCAATCGTATTAATCCACATTTTAAGTTTTTTCCTGAAGGGCAGAAGGGAGGGGGCTAATCTCATTTCGCTGGGGCGGGAGTTCTACAGCTGAGGGGACACCACTGAGAAGGCCCCATCTTTAGTCCCCACCAGCCACGCCTGAGAAGCAGGTGTACTGAGATGATCTTAACCTCTGAATGGAACTTAGAGGGAGATATGTTCAGACAGGTAAGCTGGGCCGGAACCCTTTAGGGCTTTATAGGCTAAAGCCAGCATTTTGAATTGTGCTTGGTAGCAGACTAGCAGCCAGTGGAGCTGACGTAACAGGGATGGTATGCTCTCTGTACGTTACTCCAGTGAGCAATCTGGCTGCCGCCAATTGGACCACTTGAAGCTTCCGAACAGTTTTCAAAGGCAACCCCACATAAAGTAGTCTATTTGAGATGTAACCAGTGCATGGACTACCGTGGCCAAGCCCGACTTTCCAAAGTACGGGCATAACTGGTGCACAAGTTTTAATTGTACAAAAGTCCCCTAGCCACCGCCGAGACCTGGGGTTCCAGGCTCAGCAATGAGTCCAGGAGAAATCCCACGTTGCAAACCTCTCTCTTCTGGGGGAGTGTAACCCCATTCAGCACAGGCTGTAACCCTATACCCTGTGCGGCCTTGCGACCGACCAGGAGTACCTCTGTCTTGTCTGGATTCAATTTCAATTTGCTCAACTTCATACAGACCGTTACAGCTGCTAAGCACTGGTTCAGGACCTGAACAACCTCCTTGGCAGCAGGTGGAAAAGAGTAATAGACTTGTATGTCATCTATGTACAGATGACATTGAACTCCAAAACTCTAGATGATCTCTCCCAGTGGCTTCATGTAGATGTTAAACAACATGGGGGACAATACTGAACTCTTTGGAACCCCACAGGACAAAGGCTGTGGGGGAAGCAGGTGTCCCATAACAACACTTTCTGGGGACGGCCCTCCAGGAAGGACTGGAACCACTGCAGAACAGTATCTACAAGCCCCATTCCTGTGAAGTGCCCCAGGATACCGTGGTCTATGGTACTGAAGGCCGCTGAGAGGTCAAGGAGAAACAACAGGGACACACTCCCACTGTCCAGTTCCCTAAGTAGATCATCCACTAAGGCAACCAAGGCTGTTTCTGTGACCCAGCCTAAAGCTAGACTGCACCAAATCCAGATAATCAGTTTCCTCCAAGAACATTTGGAGTTGCGACGACACCACACATTCCAGGACTTTGCCCAAAATGGGGAGATTGGAAACTGGCCAAAAGTTGTTCAATTGAGTGGGGTCCAGTGATCGTTTTTTCAACAGAGGTTTTATTACAGCCTCTTTTAGGCTGGCTGGAATCTTGCCTTTCTGTAAGGAGGCATTGACCATCACCTTCACCCACTCTGCCAGACCCCCTCTGGTCTCCTTTACCAGCCAGGATGAGCAGGGGTCTAGGATGCATGTGGTCACCCTCGCATCTCCACGGATCTTGTCCACATTCTCAAGTTGCACCAATTGAAATGAATCCATCAAAACCGGGCAAGCAGGTGCTCATTTTACATCTTCAGAGACTGCTATAAACATGGTATCCAAGTTGGAACAGATCAGAGCGTCTTTGTCCACAAAGAACCAAGCAAATGCTTCACAGCAAGCTGCCAAATAGTCAGGGCCTTGCGAGACAGGATTTAACAGCCCTCTGATCATTTGAAACAACTCAGCTGGACGGTTCTTAGCAGACGCAATGTTTGCTGCAATGTGAGATTTTCTTGTGGCCTTCACTGCCACAGCATATTTCCTCAGATAGGCACCTAGTCATGTTCGGTCTGACTTGCTGCGAGTTAAATGCTACTCATACTCTAGTTCCCTCTTCACACACTTCATCACTGCCAACTCTTTGATAAGCCAAGGAGCTGATTTAGCTCTACTATGCGGGATGAGACATTCCGGAGCAATTGTGTCTATTGCCCTAGTCATTTCCCTATTCCAGAGAGTGACCAGAGCATCAACAGGATCACCTACCGAGGTGGCGGGAAACTCCCCAAGAGCTGTCAGGAATCCATCTGGATCCATAAGCCTCCTGGGATGGATCATCTTAATTGGTCCACCACTCCTGCAGAGGTTAGGGGGTGCAGCAAACCTAAACCAGATCAGGTGATGGTCGGTCCGTGGCAAAGGAGCAATGGTCAGCTCCTCCACACCACCACCTTCCCTGTATCCCTGGTAGAAAACCAAGTCTAGTGTACCATTTGGGACAGCTCCACAGTTGCTATGGTGGCCATGATGTTCTGAGCTACTCCCGACAGGGTGCTTACATCTGAACAGACATACATAAGCACTAGCAATATACACTATAGGTTATATCTAGAGCTATCCTTGTCTTTAACCTCTGCCAGTGGTACACATGTTGTATTACACACAGGCCAGTTTGGTTTGTACCCAGATAAAGGTAGCCTTTTTCTGCTGTACTTCTTTCACTGATTTTAATATAAAGTTTAATATCCACTATAGTCTCTATCCTATGAATTTTGTTGAGATGTATGCTCCACTGGTAAGTCAGAAGATTTCAATTTATATGATTCCTAGGAATTTTATAGTTTATTTTGTTTCATTTTGTAAAGTGCTATTCACATCCTCTTCCAGGTGCCATATCTTGCTGAACTTCTTCCATGTGTAATGTTCTTTACAGTGTAGAAGTAAAAAATCTCTCTCCTGATTGCGTACGATGAATTGTTTGAGAATGGTATAATCCCTCTTCTGAATCAGGTGACTAGGATTAGTTTGAAGCACATCGCTCTTCTCTCATTTCTTTTGTATTTGATTTTTAAAGACAATGTCTTGTATTAATTCAATTATGCCATTCCTTTAAAAACTATTTATTACCAATTTCTATGTTGCTTTTTGTTTAAAAAGGATGTTAATAGAATATTGCTCTTTTTTTCCAGACAGAAGACTTCCTTAAAATTCCAGCTAACATGCAAGAAACTGTAGAACAATAATATTTTAATCTATAGATTTATTAATCTAGAGAATTTGCATAGAGGGAAAAATTAAGAACATATCACTGAAAATGCATAATTTTCTTCATATTCTTAAATATTACCTCTTAGAAGTATAACCCAATTCTTTTCAAACCATGTGCTAATCAACATTTTTTAGTAACTATCTAGAGATTGGGAATGTTCAAGCTTCTAGGTGTTTATTTATTTATTTATACACTTGTATACCGCTAATATCTCAGCCTAAGTCGGCGACTCATTGCGGTTTACAACAATTAAAAACAGTATTCAATTTAAAAACATAAAAACACGTTCAATACAAATTATTGGGCCACCAATAATAATCCCATGCATCTCGTAGTTAAAATCACAATCCAAAATTCGTCGTCCGTGATTGCCAGTCCTTTGGTCATCAAGATTCGTTGCGACGGATTAACCGAATGCTGTTAGGTGTTGTTAGATTGCAGCTTCTATCATTCTAGTCATTTTAGTCTATGGTTAGGGATGATAGTAACCTGACATTCGATGCACCATATATTATATTTTGTGGTCTGTGCCGAAATTGATTTTGAACCTATTTATGTAAGGGCACAGGTAAGCAATTTGTTCTTCCCCATCCTTATTAGTGTGCTAGTTTGTTCTCTTTTTATATTATTGTGGTAGCTGTTTTTTTTTTATAAAAAAAAACAGGGAGATAATGAGAATGGCTATTGCTATTACTACTATTGTTGTAGTTGTTGCTGACAATTGTTTTATGAACCGGCGCAAACTTTAAGATCTTCCGGGGAGGCCCTCCTTTCGCTCCCACCACCATCACAAGCACGGTTGGTGGGGACGAAAGGGCCTTCTCGGTGGTGCCCCCGCCTCTGGAACGCCCTTCCTGGAGAAATAAGACAGGCCTCATCCCTCCCCTCTTTTCATAAGAGCCTGAAGACCTGGTGGTTTAAACAAACCTTTGAGAACGACTAGTTCTAGCTCTGCCCCAGATACTGTAGAAATTGGCCATATCTTTTTCTACCAATTACCCAGGTCACTTTCTTCTATTAGGCCCTGGAAATGTACAGCCATAGATTCTACCTAATTTCCTGGGCCCTCTAAAACCGCACTAGCCTGGCCTGGCCTTTTAAACTGCCTTGAACAGGCAGGATTATTTTAAATATATGTGCTATTGTGGTTTTTAATGCTTATTTTGTCTTGTTAATTTTATGTTCATGCTGTTTTCTTTGTATGTCTTGATTATATCACTTGGAAATCGCTCTGAGTCCCCTTGGGGAGATAGAACGGTACATAAATAAAGTTTTGTTGTTGTTGTTATATTATGTTCTAACTAGCGGTCCCCTGCCATGTGTTGCTGTAGCCCAGTCTGGTAATATGGAAAATAAAGTAATTAGAAAGTATTGGTCTCCAATATATGTAACGTCTTTTGCTTGTGCGTAAACAGTATTTCTTGATGTTTCTTTGACAGTGTTAACGTAGAGATTGTCTGGTTTGCCTACTCTGGAACATGCAAGATATAATTGTCCATCTTTAGGGGTCCCTTTCAAATCTATAATACTTTATCTCTCTGTGTGTGAATCATGTATATCTATCTATATCTATGGTTGGATGGCTCTCTGTCAGGAGGGCTTTGATTGTGTTTTCTTGCCCTGGTGAAGAGAGTTGGACTGGATGGCCTTAAGTATTTTCTGTTGGTCATGGGGGTTCTGTGTGGGAAGTTTGCCCCAGTTCTGTCATTCATGGGGTTCATTCAGAATGGCCTTTGATTGTAGGTGAACTATGAATCCCAGTAACTACAACTCCCAAATGCCAAGGTCTATTTCCCCCAAACTCCATCTGTGTTCATATTTGGGCATATGGAATATTCGTGCCAAGTTTGGTCCAGATCCATCATTGTTTGAGTCCACAGTGCTTTCTGGATGGAGGTGAACTACAATTCCCAAACTCAAGGTCAATGCCCACTAAATGCTGCTAGTATTTTCTGTTGGTCATGGGAGGCCTTTGTGCCAAGTTTGGTTCAATTCTATCGTTCAGAATGCTCTTTGATGATAGGTGAACTATAAATCCCAGCAACTACAACTCCCAAATGACAAAAACATAATTTTTTGAGTGATGGTCACTCCTTGTGTAGTGAGACGTTTCGTTGCCAAATTTGGTGTGATTTCGTTCATTGGTTCTTTTGTTTTTAAGGTACTCATTATGCACAGAGCATTTTTATATATATAGATTAGATAAGCTGGTTATACAGTTGTAGAGACAAGGCATTTTCCAATCAACTGAAGATTTCTCTCACAGCAGTCTAAAATAGTTTTAATTTTGGTGGCTACTTTTTCAAAAGCACACAAAAATGTCAAAGAGGTAGCCTTATTCACCAATTGTAAATAATGCCAGATACAACACCATATTATTCTACTTCCTTATAAAAAGATCATCAAGTTATTAACTTCATTTATATTCATTTTTCCTTAATCATAGAAATTAATAGACTAAGAAGCAACATTATATCTTATTACAGTATACATCTGGATTGAATCTCTTGGTTCATAATTTGTCTGACTATACAGAGAATAAAACCAAAATGTCTAGGTGTTTTCCCATTCCTAGACTATTTGGAAGCAACATTCAAGTTCCTGAAAGTTTGGGAGTGTAGTTTGGACATAATGTTTAACTGTTGGTTTCTGGTAGGTTTCTGGCTAATTTAGTTACACTTATTGGTGGAAGAGATGAGCAAGATTAGTCAGGTAGCATCAACACACACCTTGTCAATAGCAAAGTAGAATGTTGGCTTGTTATATGTGATTACATAGAACAAGGATTTTCAGCAGCTTGGATTTCTGAATACAGGCTGCTGATAATCCTTGCCTACTGCTGTATTAGATGGATCTTAGTCTAGTCCAATGACTTGTTTTTACGCAGGATGCGATATTACAACCATAGTGTTATTCCAACTGTTAGGACCTGAGTAAGGATTAACTGTCTGCTGAGTCCAAAATATAAACAAAAAGTGGGGAAATTGGCACTCGTGTTTACAGGTCTCCTATGTAGTGTCTGCCAGCAATATTGTTTTTGAGGACACTACATTCTAAATGTTATCTCCCTTTCAGGTAAGGTAAAAGTAAAGGTAGTCCCCTGACATTAAGTCCAGTCATGTCTGACTCTGGGGTGTGGTGCTCATCTCCATTTCTAAGCTGAAGAGCCAGCGTTGTCCGTAGACACCTGCAAGGTCATGTGGCCGGCATGACTGCATGGAGCGCCGTTACCTTCCCGCCGGAGCGGTACCTATTGATCTACTCACATTTGCATGTTTTCGAACTGCTAGGTTGGCAGAAGCTAGGGCTGACAGCGGAAGCTCACGCCGCTCCCCGGAATTGAACCTGCGACCTTTCGATCAACAAGCTCAGCAGCTCAGTGCTTTAACCCACTGTGCCACCGGGGGCTCCCTTTCAGATCTGCATATTTTCCCAAACGTGCATGCAACAAATTTGTGGTTACTAAGCTGTGCCTCTATTTTGCTGTCCAAACTGTTTTTGGGTGTCTTTGTCTGCCCCTTAAACTTTCACAGCTGAAAATCACCAAAGCCACCTCTTTCTCAAGGCCCCCTTTTTTTCTCTTGTTTCTCATGGATCCAGTACCTGCTGATCTCATGTTTCTAAATTCCCTAAAGACCTGAGGACTAGTCTCACTTGTTCACATATATTCCCTGTTCCCTCAACCAGGGAGGGCTGGGTCAGTCCAGCAATCATTCTGAGATCTCATTTCTGTTGACATTAACCAGCAAAGTTCGCTATTAGAAGGAGTAATATGAAAAGGAGATAATACATCTCCCATTTGCTGATGTTTTGTGTTGTGTTACAAAAGGAAGGTCTACTGTCTATAGTTATTCTGAATAGCTATTTTGGAATTGATTTAGTTTTGACTGGATTAAGGTATCAGCATCATGATCTGTATATAGATTAATGCAAAAGAGACAGCACTTTCTCTTATTTGGTTTCTTTTATGTTCTTAATGTTAGCTGACATAATGAGAGAATATCTGGTTTAGATCCTTCCTGTTGTCTGAAAATACTGTTACTAGGCCTGGGCGGTTTCGTTCGTTAATTTTGTAATTCGTTAAATATTCGTTATATTTAACAATTACAAAATGATTTCAAAATATATTTTCAAACCCGGAAGGGTTTTTCAATAACGAAACGGCATCCTCCATACTTTTTACGAGCTTCCGCCCGTTTCGGAAATGGGATGGAGGATGCTGGGTGCCCTGGGAGCCAATCCGGCGCTCCCAAGCACCCAAGCAGTGCACCGTGGCTGATTGTGATTGGGCGGGCAGCCCTTTAAAAGCGGCTCCGCGTGGCCACATTGCTCATTGTTGCGGAGGCGAGGGAGAAGAGAAGACGGGAGGTCCGGGAGGGCGGCTTGGATTGGCTTGGTGGCTTGGATTCATTCCTTGCATTGATTCATTTGCTTTCATTTTTGCATTCCTTAATTCTGTTGTTGGGAGAGCGAGGGCGGTTTTTGTTAATTTGTTAATTTTCCATTTTTAAATATTTTTGAAAAATACCTTTCTTTTATTCTTAAAAAAATCAAAAAATATTCTAAAAAAAGAAAAGACCCTTCTGTGGCTGTGTGCTATCGTTTGTCCCTGTCTTGTGGCTGTTTGCTCCACAGCAGGGTGAGCATTTTGTTCATTTTCCATTTTTAAATATTTTTGAAAAATATCTTCCTTTTATTCTTAAAAAAAATCAAAAAATATTCTAAAAAAGAAAAGACCCTTCTGTGGCTGTGTGCTATCGTTTGTCCCTGTCTTGTGGCTGTTTGCTCCACAGCAGTGCGAGCATTTTGTTAATTTTCCATTTTTAAATATTTTTGAAAAATACCTTTTATTCTTAAAAAAAATCAAAAAATATTCTAAAAAAAGAAAAGACCCTTGTGTGCCTGTGTGTGCATTTGTTATTTGTGTAGTTCCAACCAGTGCGCTCCTTTTGCCAACAGAAAGTGCTATAATACAGTGGTCGCTCATTTGTGTAGTTCCAACCAGTGCGCTCCTTTTGCCAACAGAAAGTGCTATAATACAGTGGTCGCTCATTTGTGTAGTTCCAACCAGTGCGCTCCTTTTGCCAACACAAAGTGCTACATAATACAGTGCTTGCTCATCATTTGTGTAGTTCCAACCAGTGCGCTCCTTTTGCCAACACAAAGTGCTATAATACAGTGCTCGCTCATTATTTGTGTAGTTCCAACCAGTGCGCTCCTTTTGCCAACACAAAGTGCTATATAATACAGTGCTCGCTCATTATTTGTGTAGTTCCAACCAGTGTGCTCCTTTTGCCAACACAAAGTGCTATAATACAGTGCTCGCTCATTTGTGTAGTTCCAACCAGTGCGCTCCTTTTGCCAACACAAAGTGCTATAATACAGTGCTCGCTCATTATTTGTGTAGTTCCAACCAGTGTGCTCCTTTTGCCAACAGAAAGTGCTATAATACAGTGCTCGCTCATTTGTGTAGTTCCAACCGATTCGTTATTACCGGTTTTACGAATAATGAAATTTCGTAAACGCTTTTGCGCATGCGTTAACGCGGGCGCCATCTTTACGAATCGATTCGTTATTCCTTGACAAATAACGAAATTTCGTAAACGCTTTGCGCATGCGCTAACGCGGACGCCATCTTTACGAAGCAATTTGTAAATATTTAC